GGTCGGAGCCCGTCCTTCCTGTGCCGCAAACGTAATGTCCGCAGCCGTGCCTTTCCCTCCGCGTGTCACGGACCCTTAATGAATCACTGAGTAAAGTCAATGATGAGCTGCTTTCTTTTTGGTAAAGGAAGAACAGAACATCACCCAGAGTCAGAGCAAATACTGTTCTACTTAGGGGGTGGGCTGCTGGGTGGTGCTGGTGGTGTCTGTGTGTACAGCAGGTCAAGAAATGAAATGTATATCCTATTAAGGATGATAATCAAACAACACTAGAAGTCACTGAGCCAGAGTAAGTTGCTTAGCCTCTGTGAGGTTGCTCCTCATCTTTTAAATGGACATTATCATTCTACTTCAGAACAGACTCAAATAAGACAATGTGACACCTTTTCAGCTGTGAAACATTGTATCATTATTTTAGTTACAGAGTTTGGGCTGAGTTTCCTTAGAGCAAGCGGATTCTTTGCCCTACAAGCTCACAGCCTAAAGTCACTACACCAGCAACTCGGACCCACTGTTCCTCGGACAAACGGAAGCGGCAGCCTCCTACAGAGAGCAGGAGCCAGGGAAAGCCCGGGGTTCTGAAACGTTTCCAGTCTCCTTTGTAGTACCACCCATGGAGCCTCTGGGGGAACCACGACAGACTGGAAAGGCAGCGTTTCTGTTCACTGTGGGACCTCGTGAAAGGATTGCCACTTAGGAGGAGGGAGCCACAGAAGGAGACCTGTGCAGAGGCCAGGCCCCCCGAGGCCGGACGGAGGCCATCCCAGCCCTGCATTCCCATGGCCCTTCAACGTCTCCACTTGAGACACGATCACTCCTCCTTCCCACTCACAGCTCGGGACCCCGTGTCAGGCTCCAAACGCCGCCACCACTTCCAGACAGCGCATTATGGTTCAGTTACACGTGCTCCCGGGACACGCCGCGGTACCACCGGTAGGAGCCGTGCGGAGGCCCCGCTAGCCAGGACAATGCCACCGGCTGGGAGGGATGGTACCCCCGCTCCTACCACTCCACGCGCTGCTGCCCGGAAAGGGCTCTGCTGGGGAATCGTATCAAGACCTCTTCCTGGAAAACAGAGGGGCTGTAAAGAGAGACAGAGATTCCTGCTGGATGCACAGGGACATTTCTGAGTACTCAGTGGCGCTGGGATAAAAGCACTTCCTTTTTAGCACAATGCTCCTGACCTTCAGGTCAGCTCGCTGTGAGTCTTGGGTCACGGAAGGCTCAGCCAGGCTCACAGGAGGGCAACACCTGGGGGGGGCCAACCCCTGGGGAGGGCAACACCTAGAGGCACAACACCTGGGGACACAAACACCTGGGGGGGGCAACACCTGGGGGTGCAGCACCTGGCCGGGTTGAGAGGCGCGGCTGCAGCCTGCGAGAGTGACTCGCTGGCTCGCCTGTGGACGCTGTGCACCAATGGTTGCCTGCTGAACAAATGGGCACAGGGATACATCTGCCATGGTCTTCGTTTCTCTGTGACAAACTCCCACCCCGCTCAGGGAAGGGGAGAGGCACAACAGATGCGGACAAGCGGGAGGCAGGCAGTGAACACGTGGAATTGGGTGAGGGGTGATCAGGACGCTTTAGTCCCTGCCCCGCGTTCCTACTGGAGAGTCAGACTGAAAAAGTGAGCGGCCAGCACCTGCCTGCACTCTGGCGTCTTCCCAGGTCGCTTGGGCTTATCTCTCTGTAGTCAAAAGCCAGGCGGGGCGTGCCACAGCATTAGCGTCTTTCTCCTAAGCCTTGACACCGTGGGGGTGCTTTTCCAACCAAAACACATATTTGCTTGGAAGAGCACTGGAGAGCTGGGACTGGGAAGGACCCTGAATATCATTTGACCCAGAGACCAGGACCCAGAAAGGTTAAGGGACACAGCTGTCCAGATGAGGAAGGACCAAGGCTAACCAGAATCTCCCAGGATAAAAGATGCCTATCATCCTGCCTCCTAGCAGGTTTTGCAAGAGATAAGGCTCCCTGCCCCTCAAGGCTATACCTTTATCACTGCACCTTTCTAATACCCTAGAATCGGAACAATTACCATATTTCTGCAGTGTATAATGCACACTTTTGGCCCCAATTTTTGAGAGAATAAGGATGCACATTGTATGTGGGTAGTGCCTGAAATATCTTGTATTTGTTCGTGTTTTGTAATTATTTGTTACATAAAATTTATTGTATCATAATGTTAAAAAATAAATGCTAAAATTCCTTTATAATACAAAAAATAAGTATCTGAATATAAATAAATACAAAACTGAATTTAAAAATTAAAACCAAAATTATTTTTTCCTGGTAGTTTGGGCAAAAAATGTGGGTGCACATTGTGCATGGGAATGCATTATACACGGCAAAATACGGTAGGTATAGAACTAGGTATTCATTACCTAAAGACCGTTCATCAGTTAAATGGAGGAAACAGTGTCCACATACGAGGCTTGAAGAGGAATTTCAATCCCTGATAGAATGTAAGTAATTTTATCCATGTGTATAGTATGTTGCTTGAAACGGAAACATAAATATTGTTATATAAAGACATAATTACTTCATGCATAATTGATGGTGAATAAGAAGAATTCTTGCAGAAATACACAACTTGTATTAGAACTTCAGGTATTCCAAGTTACAAAAACTGATTTATTTCAAAGAATGAGGAAATGGAATTACTACTGCACCTGATATCAGCCAAAATTTCTCACCTATAAAATGTCTTATCCTTAGTATTTATAAAAACTAGATGCGAAAAATGCATACACTAACTAAGGTTTAAAAAAAATAACTTGCAGTGTAGGCTGCTACAAATAGGGCTCTCCGTGGTGAGGATCAAGTCCATGCATAAGTATCCCAGCAAAATCTTCACCACATACACACAACACAAAGCACAACACACACACACACACACACACCCCACCCCACCCCCCGACAGATGGGTTCCAAAAAGCAGCTAAACATTCCATAAGCCAAACGATCAAAAATTAATAGTAAAGGATGCTTGGTGTTCCCAAGCGTGTGACGCGGCGTGAATGAGCACAGCGCACGGCCCTGCTCTCACGCCTCACCCCTCGCACCTCCTCTTCCCACACATGTGCCCCCCACGCCCCCTCCCCCTGCTCTACAAGCCAGCCACTGCCACCCCACAGTGGGGCGGCGGCTGCAGCCCCCAACACCTGACCGATAATATCCGGTCTGCACGCCCAGGAAATCCCACAGTGTGTTTTCAGCCTCTGCCCACATAACAGCTTGTAAAGAAAGGGCAGGACAGAGCTAATCAATACCAGCTCCCCACCTGTGACCTGGCACGGAAAGACATCAAAAAAATAAATCCCAGCTGTAATCTGTATAATTTAACACTTGGAAGAAAACAACATCTGGGATGGGTTCCAAGCGGGACCGTGTTGCTGAACGGGTCTGTGCTTCCTATATTGTTAAACCCAGAGACAAGGGGACGCTCTGGTTCCTCACCAGTTCAGCAAAGGCAATGTCTCCTCCTAGCAGGAGTTAACGTGCCCTCAAAAAGGTGCGGGTCAGGGTGGAATAACCACCAGCACCTGCTCCCTACCCTCGGAAGAGACAGGAAGCTGGCACCCCTTCCCAAAGGTAGGTTTGGGACAAATTATTGTCTTGCTATCCAGACTGGAAGCTAATGCAAAAATCGGAAATGACTGTTCTATTATACATGCCTCTCAGCGGCCCCGAAGTCCTACATACCTAGGCAAGATTGGGAAAAAAAATCCCCTATGACTCCACGCAAAGGCTTTCCAGATTTTTTAAATTACAGGCGAATGAATTCAGAACATAAGGAAATACCTACACATCTTCTAAGTGACTAGATCTGTGCCCAATTTTAAAGAGAGAAATGAAAAAGAAAGCCCATCGGCAGGACGGGGCATTAGAAGCAATAAAGATCGCTGGTAAAATCCATAATGCCTTCTCCCTGTGAAATCTTCTGAGACGTTCTAATTGCCTTCGACTGCGGCGGGCTTGTCAGAGTCAGGGCCCTAAACGGAGTAACTGTCAAGGGGCGACCCAGCTGAAATCAAACAACAAAAACGGGAACTGTAATCGGCCCGAAATGGGAGGAGGGAAAGGAAGGGAGACTCCTGTATTCATCAGTCAACATTAATGTCCTTTGTTGTTCACCTTTGCACAGAACGGCGCGCGCTGCCCTGTTCCTTTGCCTGCGAACGCCAGTGTCTGGGTAACCCCGTCCCGACAGCGGTGTCCTTGGCTCAAAGACCCGGGCTTTGCGAGCTCGTCCCCAGCATCGCTCCACAGCTGTCCTCCATCGCCACCCCCGCCGCGCTCGCTCCGGGCCACGGGGTGGCCAGAAGTAAAAACATAGCGAAATGCCCGTTCCCCTCCAAGGAGCAGAGAGCGGAGCCGCCCAGATGTTGACAAGTACCAGCGCCCCCGCCCCCTCGGGACACAGAGCCCTGAGCCCCGGGACCGGAGGGAGGACGGTGGGGAGGCTCCGGCCGGCTCGGGCTGTCACAACGGCTACAGAGCGCGGGGACACAGTCCGCACTCCGGGGACGATGACCGGAGCCAGAGGGAAGGTCTGCGCCTCCCTCTGTTTTGGGGGTGTTCTCTCTGCGCGGTGGTTCTCGTCTCCCTTTCCAATCTGGAAAATCGTCGCAACCCACAGCCGTCGCGGGAAAGAGGGGGAAGGAAGAAGAGGAACGCCGTCCACCCTCCTCTTCTAACTTGACATACACACCCTGTCGCCACTCCGAACTCCGCAGGCAGAGCCCGCAGCGGGCGGCTCTGCGCGCTCCCCCCTCGGCCGTCCCGGGAGCCCGAGCTCCATAGGGCGGTGGAGAGGCGAGACCCCGGCGCGCACCCTTCGGCCCGGGGCTGGCTCCCCAAAGCCCGACCCCGCAGCGCGATGCACGGAAGAGGCATTTGCAGCCGGGCAGAGAGCTAGGGGCGCGGCGACAAGGACGCGAAATGCGCACCCGCTCGACCCGAGCGGAATAAAAGTTGGCCCCGCGGAGACTCACCCACGCCGTATTTCTCGTGCTCCGTAGGTATCCACATGGCTAAGCAGGGCTCCCGGGTCTTCGGGCTGGGTAGCCCCCGCGCCCCTTCTCCGCCTCACAACAATGCTCAGCTGCGGTGGAACGGCTGCAGAGCCGGAGCCCGGCGGCTCCGCGCGGGCTGCGGGCGCTTATCTGCGCCGCGGGCTCCCGAGCCAGGCGTTGACACCGCGCGGCCCACGCTGCGCCGCCCGCCGCTCTCCCGGCGGCGGCTGCTTACAGTCCTCCGACGCGCTCCCAGGGACCCGGCGGCGTAGTCATTGTTCTGATTCACTGAACTGAGCGAACACGCCGGGGCACTCTCGGGCGCACCCCCGGCCGCCAGCGCCTGCTCCGGCCCTCCCTGCCCCGCGCTCCCGTAGCACACTGGGAATTGTAGTTCTGAGCCAAGCCATCTCTAAAAGGGGCGTGGTGATGGCCGTTGGGGCGGGGCTTAGGTTTCGCTCTCCGCGTCCTATTGGTCCAGGGAGTGACGGCACGACGTGGGCGGGGAGGAAGTGTCGCGTGGATGGGGAGTGCGCCTCCAGTCGCGTTTGCATTGGCTCCTGTCGGCACCCGCCCCGCCCCGCGGGCCTCCCTTTTCCTCTCGGCGGCATCATGGCTGCTCCCTTGACCCTGGGTGCTGCTACCCGAGGCGAGGAGGACGATGACTGCAATCGCAGCGGAACCGGGGCTCTAAGCAACGAGGGTGAGTACGGTGTCCCCGAGGTACAGACGGTCTCGCTTTCTCTGCTTTCTCTCGGGCCAGGATGCAGCTGGCCGCCGGGCGCACCCCAGGATCCTGCCCGCTCTGAGGCCACCTGGGCGGGAGGGGGCCACGGGCGGGGCCCAGAGGTACCGGCGGGTCGGCCGCGGCTGGTCTGTGCTGGCTGACTGGGGAGGGAAGAGAAAACGGGATGGCACGGCCTTCCGGGCAGCCAGGGAGGCTCCCTGGGCGTTGGGAGCGCCCAGCTTCGCTCCTGAGTGTGTGTGTGTGGGTCAAATCAGGCTCGCTCGAGGGCAGTCCTCACGCTGGGATGAACAGCTCTTCGCCAACACCCTGTCTCCGCCTTGGTTTGCTGGGTGTGTCGTCGGGAAAAGAGTTTTACTGGGGTTCGCGCTGATTTCTATTTGCAGACTGGCCACTGCTGCCCAGTCTGCAGATATGCCCAGTGGCTGGCTGGCTGGCTGGTTGGAGCGGCCTCTGTGGGGTGTGTGCGCCCCTCGCAGACTCCCGGGTCTTTTGTCGACTGCCCCCTGGGGCTCAGGATCGAATGTGGAGCCTGGAAGATCTTCCCGGGCTGGGTCCTTAGGGAAAGAAGAAAGGAAGTGGTAATCGGCACTCCTGACTTCAGAGAATATTTGAAGGTGGTTATGAAAATCACAGCTACTTTGGCTCTACCTGACTTCCAGGCTGTCCTCTGATCCACCGTAGAGATCAAACCCCAAACTTGGAAAACTGCAGGGTGGGGAGGGGGGCGATCGTTTACCTTTGGTCCTTCCCTCCTCTGCCGCGTCCCCGCCCCTTCTTGGCCCTGATAGGTAACTTAGCACAGCAAGTTATCTTTTTACAATGGACAGGGTTTGGGACTTAAATTTGGTTCTCAGCCTTTGCTGAGGGTGGTGGTGGTGGTGGTGGTGGTGGTTTCGTTGTTACTGCTTTCTCAGTTAAACTGGCTTTTAGCCTTAAGTTTTTGTCTGAGTAAGTGCAAAGATAAAGTGCAATTACTTCCCCTCAGTGGAACTGCCTGGCCTGCAATTATTTCAGTGCCTTTACCAAAGAAATCTTTGTAGGCTCCTGAGTTAGATATTGAGTTATACCCACACCCTACACAGTTCACAGCCAGGTTGGCCCCACAGTCGGTTATTAAAATGTGACGGCAACAGACTATTAATGCTTTCCAGATTCTTCACAAGTTCCAGAGGGCTATCCGATTACAGTCCAAAAGTGAAATCCTCCATGACTCTTTCTCACAGGTTAACTCATAAAAACGAAAATAGGGTATGCCTCTCAAAAACATTGAAGAACGATTAGAAATCATCAGTTATTTTAAAATTATAAAAATTTTAAACATTTCATTATGAACATTTCAAACTGCTCAGACGTGTGGGAGGTAAAAAATGAAAAGTCCTCCACCACACAATGCCAAAGCAACAAGTGTTGATGGTCTGGTGTGTGTTCTTTCTGACATATTCCTCTATGACACACATCTCAATGGCTTTGAGTTGGTAAAAAAAAAAAAAGGATCATTCTATGTAAGATCAAAAAGCTATAATCTCCCTGCTCCCAGTGATCTCTTCTAGACACTCTTCCTATTGGTGCGTTTATTGCTTCCTTCTCTTAAAGGACTGTTCCCACTCCACTCCATAGTGTGGATGTGCCTGCTTCGAACCATTCCCCTATTTGTGAGCACATAGTGGGGCTTTAGTCTTTCAGTAATGACGTAGTGAACAGCTTTATATACAGATCCTTGGCCACCGTGTATGTATTTCTTAACAAGTTGATGGGTCAGAAGTTACACCTGCTAGAAATTGTGGTAGAGTTTGGACCTTCCCCGGGTGAGGCATCAGTGTGCCTTCCTACCAGTAGCCTGTGATAGCGGCCTTTCCGCAGAGCCTCGCCACCTGTGAGGAAACCAGTCCAGGACCAATGTTTAAATGACCAGTAGACAGAATTGAATAACAGATAGAAATCTTAATTTTAGGTTCCAGTTTGTTTTCAACAAAAGTACTGAGCAGCAGCAATAAATCTGCAGCATCTGTAACATAAAAGAATCCCTCAGCCTGGCTCAGAACTGCTCCAAGCTCTCACTAGTTTGTACACATCAGTGGGAGAGCTTCATGGTCGGTTTTGGGGCTGTTCTTATAAAGTTGTCATTAAAAATCCCCTTTATAAACCATGTATCATGCTGAGACTTGATCCAATTCTCTCCTAAGCCTGTGAAGGGATACAAATTTGGGTAGGAATAATGATTTTGAAAGTGTATTCATATTTTTTTGTGAAGCAACCACTTAGGTTATCAAGTATGCTTTTTCCCATAAAATCATTAATTTTTTGGAAACTGCCTTTTTGAAAAGGTTTTCCTCTAGCTTTAATCAAAATGTCAATCTGCATGTTTCATCTCCCAGGACAGATGGGACTAGGAGTCTTTTTATAGCAGCCCTTGCAATGCTACAGGGTCGTGCCACCCCGCATCGCTGGGTGGCGTGCCGGCAGGCACAGCGCCTTCCCTGGGCTGCCAGGCCTCCAAGGCGCCACCCCTCTCCAGGAAGGCCCCTGGTCTTGCGTGACACTGCTTCCCATCTTTTTGAACAGCAACTAGGATTTCATGTTGTCGCCATAAACGGAAAACAGTAAATAGATGCAACATTTCTCACACTTAGGATGTGTTCGTGGTAGTTTTTCTTCTACTGTTTCTAATCAGAAGGCGGAGAGGTGGCACACCTGTGGCATGTTGACTGCCTGTACACGGCGGACACTTTCTGACTGCCGTGTGGTCCTCCCTATTGTGATCCTGACGGTCAGCTGCCCCCTGCAGGTGCTTGCCCAGTAGGTGATGCTCGAGGTAAGGCGAGGGGTTCGCGATGCCTGGCCATGGGGCCCTCACCGACTCTTAGTGCTGCCCCTGGAAGAGAGAGGGGCCGCCCAGGGGAGTCAGAGCCTCAGTCTTGTGTTTCCTATTTCAGAGAGAGGCATCCAGCCTTAGCTGGAAACCTAGGATCATCTTTGATTTCTATCTTGCCCTTGGGCCCCTGGTCTGATCAGATACCGTGTCTTGTTTTTCTGTGCCTGAAATAATCTTTTGAATCTGTTCTATCCAGCCATCTCTTTAGACACTATTCTATTTCTAACCCTTCCCCATCCCTGCTGAATTCCTTGCATCCCACACGCTCTGGACAGTGCTCTTGGGACCAAAACCTCGTCCCAACCATCAAAACGTGTTTCATAAATGTTTGCCCAGCACTAAGTTCCAGCCTGGACCACCGCAAAGCCTTCCTGGTGGTCTCACCGACATCTTCTCCCCTCCAGTAACCCACAAGCTAAAAGGAACACGTGTTTGCGGCCTCCACTTCAAGTCTTCAGTGAACCTCTGCTGTCGTGTGCTCAGGTCCAAACTCTTGGTATGGCACCCAAGGTCCTAGCTTCCCCTTCCTGCCCCATCTTCAGTTGCCCCGCTTCCTGCCCCGCAGCTCTGTTACCGCACCGACATTCTCAGACTGCAGGAGTCTGTCACCAGCTCTGTCTGCCCATGGACCGTGACCTTCTTGGGGCCAGAGTTGTCTTGTTTAACTGTCACACCCTCAGGGCTTGTCCGAGCTGCAGGGAATGAACTGCCCCCGCTCACGGGCGAGACTCTGTTTAAAATTTATTCAGAACTCTTCCTGGCAGCTGCTTTAAGCAGGAGAACTGAAATAGAATTAAAAACTGAGCTGATATTGCATGTCTGTGAAAGTTGTGCATGCCAACAGATACAGAACATCCTCACGAAGAGGGTACTTTGTCGGAGGGAAGCATAGGTAGCATTTTAGCATAGTTTTCAGCCTTTTTTTAAGTGGCGTTCTTGTGTTGTTTAGGTAACAATTGAAAGAACACTTCCGATCTGAATGAACAGCCCGCAGACCTTACCCCCAGCCTCCCAGCCCCTGATTGGCTGTCGCCCAGTTTTCCGCAGCAGCCTCTTATTTCCAGCATTAATGCTTAAGTCCACATTCCTCTGTCTGACAGGACAGTGGAAAGAGGAGTAGACCCTGTCTTGGAAAAGTATTTAAATTTCAACTCTGACATCCAATAGCTGTGCAACACAAGTTTATGGCGCATGCTGCTACATTGATGAAAATACAGTTGTAACACCTGCTTGGCAGTTATTGTGATTATGAAAGCCCAGCGTGCTCCCTCCTATAAAGCTGGACCTCAATAAATCTTAGTTGCTTTTAATATAGAGATGGGCCTCATTGAGCTGCCTGCTCTCTGATCCTGCGCTCCCTCCGGAAGCTGTATGAGTGGCGGCGTAACCCAGGGGAGGCTCAGGAATGCGCTGGGGATAGCGCTGCGGTGTCCCATGCATTCATGGAATTCGGGGGCTGCCCGAGCGTCTGCTGGCGCTCTGTACTAGAATTGCAACTATGTGCTCCAAAAGCCTTTTAATAGTCTCCTCCAGACCCCTCCTCACTCCCACCCAGTGCCGCCCCCCTCCGACCCGGCCCCCAGCTCCCCACGCGGCCACACACACTCAAGAGTCAGCAAAAAGCTCTGGCGGGCGTGCATACCGGGGTGGCCTTGCAAGGTACAGGCCAGAGGATGTCACGGAAGGAAAAGAGTTAGAGAAACCTAGTCTGGTGGCTTTGGTGGGAGGCTCTGAAGGGGCCTCCTCCACAGCATCCTTTAATTTCCCTATAAAAGTAAGCAGGTCCCAGCTTGTAGGGTATTCAGAGGGGATATTACAAAAGGAGGTATTATAATCATGGTGACGCTGATGGTAGCTGACATTTGTTGAGCAGTAACTGGTGCCAAGTACTGTATCAAATACTGTTACAAGTCCTGTTTCATGGTGTCCCCACAGCAGCCCTGAGGGCATCAATGTGACAAGTAGCTTGCAGAAGGTCACTCAGCAACTAGAGGAGAACTTTTATCCTCTTTACTGTTATAGTGATATCCCTAAGCCCCATTGGATGGCGTCTGAAGCAGACTTTCCTCAACCATAAATACGT